TTGTATTAATGAGCAGGTGCACCTAATAAACTGGCCACTGAGTGTAAATCAGCCGAGTGATTGTAGCCTTGTCTCCAAGACCTATTTAGACATTCTGCCATCGGCTGCCTTTAACAGGCAGGAACAAAACACATCTGTTCAAGTTTACTCAGACCTCTAAGACAAACTAAATTTTGTTTTAATGTCTCCGCTGCATTCACTTTCTGCAGGAAATACAGGATATGGGAAATTTAAAAACAGAAATAATAATAAACATAAAACGTTTAAGCATATTGGATACAGTTCATTTAACAATCTGAATCTCTAAAGCACTGTTTCCCAATCCGGTCCACAGGGATCCACAGCTGGTCCACGTTTTTGCTCCCTCCCAGCTACTGGGAGCAAAAACGCGGACTGTCTATGTGTCCCTGAGGACCAGATTGGGAAACACTGCTCTAAGGAATGGGTCCAGTTTAAACCAGTCTGATGGAGGCATAACCTTAGAATATTTTTTGTTGCAATGGTAGCAGGGAAACTCTGGACTCATGGACAGGGGCACTGTTGTCTTTCTGCGAGAAGCTTTTCCCAGCAGGGACAAGAACGCAGCTAATCTATTGGGGGACCTGGCTTATTTAAGCAAAAGAAATATCACACCATTGAGGAAGCTGCCAGAACCTTTCACTGCTGGATCCTCAAGCGTCTGGGTGTTCTATCCACTGTGTGCAGATGCATGTCTGCCAAAAACCATTCCCCATCACAACATATCACACTCCTCCTCTAGTGAGAAATCTGTCTCCAAGTAGAGATATACATCAGTTTGAATATGCTATTCCGGCATGTATAAATATGCCTAAATCTATCACAGAAGATCTTCTCCCTGTTATTCTGCAGCCATGTTCAGGCACATGGCATATCGGCATGTATGCCTGGAGACATCAGCCAATAAGTCATCCAGCTTGTAAAACAGTAATATATTCAAAGGCCATTTTCAATAACTGCTTCTGTGATTTGCATTGATCCAGTGGATGCAGCAGAAACGTAGGGCATAGAGGACGATGCTCCTTCGCTGGCCACTCACGCCGTCACATGTGCGCTCACATTCCTCAGGGTAATTCCCCAATTTAGCTGAAACAAATAGCTTTGGACTGCAGGAGACAAGTGAAGGAAACCAATGGGGGGATCCAGGAAGAAGACACACACACACACACACACACACACACACACAGAGCTGGATGCAGACTGTCAGCTCTGAAAGGGTGAGATAAAGACATTACCTAGTGAGCCACTGGGCTAACATTGAAACACATGCAAATTCTTATTCCCGAAGCAACATCATGCAGGTCTTGGAGACACTACCAGTAACATTCTCACCCCCTTAGTTGCAGATTAAAATCCAATATAAATAATTGAGATAAACTTATGCTATGATACCAGACAGCACTTTCCTTTGCAGACCACTCTTGCTTATGTTTCCCGGACCATTGGAACCATGTGACCGTCCAGCAGACACCTTCAGATCATTACCCCTACTGTACCAGAACACTGACTTGTCCATTCAAACCATGCTCACACTGTTTTAGACTATTCAACGTCAGCTGCATAATGACTCTGTATAAGCATTTGGGAAACTGCATACTTTTATTTTAACAAAGTCATCTTTCAAAAACAAAATATATTATTGAGTCACACTTTTTTCCTGCAAAACATAGTTTCGATATTACTGACATCTCTTAGGAATATCTCAAATAAAATCAAAGTGATCTCTTTAACAAAATTCTATTGTTCTTTGTTGGCCTCAGTATCCAGGAACAACATTTCTGTCTCTTGCCAGTTCCTGTGTTCTTTGGGTATATTTAAGAGGTTGCATGCATGCAAAATCCCTTTGTCATACATCACCAGGGGAAAACCAAAGAGCTTTCAATTGAAAAGACACAGACAGCTGTTGACCTACACAAATTTGAAAATTAAACTAAGTACCATCAAGATAATGATTTAAAAAGATTCAGAAGTCTGGATTAGTTGCAAATTTGCCAATAGCAGAATGAATGTGCATATAACCACCATGCACAGCGAGGAAGATAGTGAGTTAATGCAAATGAAATTGTGCGTCATGGTCAGATGAGACCAAAACTGAACTCTTTGGCCAGGATCACCATTGGCGTGTTTGGCATCGGAAGAGTATTGCAAACAAGCATAAATACCTGATACCCACAGTAAAATGTGGTGGCAGATCATTGATGCGTTGAGATTTTTTCGTTACTAGTGCCCTAGGTGTTCTTCTAAAGATCAATGGTATCATGAAGTCCACTAAGCACCAGGATATTCTAGCTGAGACTCAGCTGTAGATTGACCTTTCAATAAGACAATGACTCCAAATATACAGTATAAATCAAAATCAACACAGAAATGGCTGAGGGGGGGGGGGGGGTCACAAAATCAGTTTTGTAACTTTGCTATGGTCAACTCAGCCTCTGTGGTCTACTTTGAAGAAGGCACTCAAGTGTGAACCTAAGATGATCAAGGACCTTGAGTGCAGCTAGATCCTTCCAAAACCTTACAAGAAAAGGTTTGGTGCTGTTTTCCTTTCCAGAGGGGCCTTCATCGCATAGTAAATGGAGGTGTGCCAATAATTTTGAAAGCTATCTTTGCAGACAAATTGTACTACACAATAAAATGGCAGCTGGCCATCACTCCCTGCACTCAACAAATGCTTGGAAACATAATTTTATGCAAAATAACAATTCAAAAATTTTATTTCTAACAGATGCAGACATAAATTCATTATTAGTTCCAAAACTGCTTTATGACATAACAGCTACTGCACATGAACTGAACTGAATTGTTTTAGGGCCTAATTTTTAAAAAAGCACATAACTAATTGAAGCAAACATTATAAAAACAAAACTTTGCAATGAGTTCACATCTGTTTGAGTGTGGCATCAACTGAAGACAGAAGCCATATCTTCACAATCGGAATGATAAACAGATTTACAGGTAAAAGGATTAGTCTGCTAAGCCAAAAACTGGAGCCCCTAGCTTAGGGGTCTAATTAATTTCTGCAGTAACTGCAGAAGATGACGCCTTCAATGAGCTCTGCTACACTTGTATAATGAATAATTATTCACAACCAGGTAGACCTTAGTTTTGTGTTATAGGTGATTTAGAAAGTAAGACTCCAACACCCAGCTGGGATCTATTTTTTAGATCCAACTGAGAAAAATGTTTTAATGATCTTGTTTTTATCTGGGAGAAACAGAGCAGAAAAAGCAGAGAGCACGCGACAATTTCCCTCTGGGAGTGCATCACAATATTGTTCTGCTCTCTGGTTCCTTATTCTCTCACCATAACAATTGAATCCTTTGTCACCAGAGTGCCTGCTGAACAGATAACCGTAATAACACCTCAGTCAAAGTCACTGAGGTCACCCCCCCTCCCCGTACCTTGCTTAAGGTGCAGCTTGCTTTTGTATACATGAGGGGGAGAGTTCAGGAAAAAAAGATATACAGTATATAATCCCAACTCTGCAAATTTTGTGACACATTTTGTGATATTTTGATGACCCCCACTTTGAATATATCATTTCTCTTGCATGAGTTATTTGATTGCTTGAAATAAAGACTTTTATGTATGTACAATTTCTACACAAAGCCCCACACTCTTTGCTGGATATAATTTTACACAATAAATTATACATTTTTTCCCTAAACATAATTACTGAAGTTTCTTCCATATTCCTACCAGCGATGGCAATCTTATCAGTGACTTATTAACTAAATGCAGGTGACTGTCCCCTAGTAACGCACCTGGCCTGCTCACGGAGCTTGTGCTTATTGATAGTGTGGTGTAATAAAAGAGCCAAACCAGTCAGACAGCATAAAATAGCTACATTTCTGCAAAACGGCAGATTGGAATCATGAAAGGTAATTGTACTGTCTGTTTTATTTACTCCACAGCCAAAAGACACATGGCCAGATAATATAATTATCTGCTGTTGGTCGGCTAAATTTATATGTTGAGAATAGTGGGAAAAATCTCATTACCACAGAATGGATCAAAGTCAGGATATGAAACGCGGTGTTGAGGAGGGAACTGGCACATTTTCGTTGACTGTCAACAAATGACACACTGAACTGTATTGTGACGTTAAAATGTTGCCTTTGAGTCACATGCCAAATATTAAAGCATTCTGCCGCATGCCACCGATGTCACTGCAAGTACTGTGATGACGGGCTGTCAGAATCTGACCTTGTTCCCTTCACCATGTGACACAAACGTATCGTCTGCTCCTGACCTCTATTGGTCATACTTGAAATGGTGACAACAGCCTCATTGTTATGAAGAAATGGGGTTATGACTCAAGTGTGTCACGTGAAAGTTACACAAATAGTTCACTTGTTAAATTGCTCTGACACGCATGCCAAAAACCTTTTTTGGGGGGCAATGAGGCAAGTGGATGATGTTGAGATGGTTCATTTTATATGAGGAGAGCTGCTTTACAGTAATTATGATGACAGTTTGGCTAAACTGAGTAACAGCACAGAGCTCCGTGTCTGAAGGAGACACTGGTCTGAACATACTAGGCCTTTTAGAGTGATGAAGAGCAGGAACTCCAGCAGAGACTCAATATTTCGCAGCCGCCTAATTCCTTGTTCCCTTTTGTCTCTTTAATCTGTTATGCCATTTAGATTCAGTGATGCATTTATAATTGGAAGAAAGGGAGAGATGAATAATTGTCTGGGGGTAAACATGTAATTTCATAAGATTTGAATACATTTGACAATTTGAGTAAAGCCCTCAATGCATCTGTCAGTGAAGCGCATTCAGCACAATTCAGTCAGCACAACATAAACATGGGATGGTGTTAATTGGAGCAGTACCCTACAGAAAACTATTGTACAGTAATGACAGTCCTTGTAAAGAAAACATACTTCACCACTGCTTACATAAGGGACCATGTGAACAATCAGTATTTACACAACTTCATGACAGCTTCATTTAAGCAGTATGCCTAAGGTCTTTATGTGTGTTTTCTTTTTGTATGGCTTGCCTATCAGCCCAGGCTGCGACTTCATGCTCCAGTGAGAGGAGATATTTCCCTGAATATTAGAAGTCCTCTCTGAAGCACATTTCACGCCTGCAAGGAAGCAGATTAATGTAAATGCGGCAACTCAGAGTGAAGTGTAGCTCCATAATCTGCTTTGAAAACAAACTCTGGCTTTGTTAGGGAAGAGAGCTCTTCCGGGAAGCTGGTCCCTCATCGCCTGTGGGGCTCCCTTGGGCGCGAAGAGTAGACTTCCTCTTCCACAGCATCTGGCCCCTTTCACCCCATGGAGGCCTTGGGTGTCTCGCCAATCTTCGTTGCACCTGTGTACTGGGGGCAGGTTTCTTACCCTATGGTGAGGGGCAGCAGGAAGCCACACCTGCCCCTTTGTTCCCTCCTGCCCCTAAGGGGCTGTTTCATTTGTGCCAGAAATGTAGCTAGTTGGTTTGCTCTTTCAGACACTGTAGATGGTTACTGAGTACCACCTGCTACACACTCCATTAAAAAACAAATAAAAGAAAAGGCTGATGTAATGACATAAACAACTTACTTTATAGAACAGAGCTTTATCTCTCCATTCCATTGCTCACACACAATAAGGGATGGGTGGATTGAAAGAGAATAAGAGCCAGTGAAAATTATCATCTTACTGTGCTATTAAAGTGCAACGAACACCCCAGTCTCCAAATAGGTGCACAAATAGGAACACGCTCCCCCCTTCATCTGAGCTACCCGCCAGGTCCGGATAGACAGTAGATGCGGATCATTAAATCCCTGTATGGCGTTCAATTGATCCTCCCTGTAAAACAGGGTCATATCATTTATACTGAAAGTGCAGATAAGAACTACAATGAGGTTCTGAGAACTTCTAAGTGTGAAGATGGGTGAGCATTTGCTGCTTCGCGTATCACTTCGTCCCTCATCATCCTAATTAGGTGTAGCATAAGCACAGGATAGAGACACATGACTGGAAGGTTATCAGTTCAGGTCCCAGTACCAGTAGGTGTGATGCTTGACCAGTGAAATGTCCAGCCGATGTGGATGGAAATTGTTAGGATCTCCTGGATTATAGCATCAAACTAAGCAGTTAAATGCAAATTGAATTCCTTGGTATTGCCATGCTGCTTTGACACCCTGTTCAGATGGAATTAAAGATAAAATCTCTGAGCCCTGCAGACACAGGCCTTGTGGCCGTGTTTAAATACAGTAGGACCTGGGTAAATTAACCCAGGGAGAAAAAGGCATAATTTGATGATTTACTTAAACACGCTAGCTCAAGGCAATGAAACAATCAGCAGAACAATATCTAGGCCAAGCCTAGGCCAAAACGAATGGATTTGATTTTCCTAATCAAGAAAATTCACTTGCAATGCATTCATCTATGAGTTATGCTGAATATTGATGCTGTTCATCAAGAGAGAATGTGCTGCTGAAAAGATATCTACATAGAATTAGCTTGTAGAAAGCTTATCGTACTCATATATACAACAATTGTGTTTTTACCTACCTGTTTTATATTTTCATTGACATTTAAACGAGGTCTCAAATTGTTACAAAGCAAAACCAATGTTTGTGATCTAAGATGGATCATCTATCCATCCATCACCAAATGGGCTGGGGATTTACAGAATACATGTAACAGCATTAAGTATGTAAATTCCAAAATATGAGTAAAACTGTATTCTGTTACAGTTACCATATAAACTTTTTTTTTTAATTTTTAAGCATTTAAATTCATATTATTCAAAGTTTATCCAATAGTCTTCTATTTGGAGATGTGTCACCCACAACCCCAGCAATAAATAAAAACAAGTACTAACAAAAGGTATCCAATACAGTGACCAAGCCTGTACAGCACTAAGCATTTTATTTGGGGAAATTCTGCAAAAATTTTACATTCAAGCAAATAAAAGATGAAGTACAAAATTATCTCAGAGATTCAGACACAAACTTAGATTCATTGAAGGTCTACCCCAGCTGAGTGTCTGTTTAGCAGTGGAGTGCATATTTTCACCATACACCATAATCGTATGACTGATGAATACTTTGACTCTTTTACTGCATTACAATAATATTTTTTGGCTGTAGAGTAAATAAACGGTTATTCTGAAAACATTCTCTCCATGAATGTTATTCTATTCTTATTCTACATACCCTTCAAAGACTGATGCATTTTGAATTATTGTGCAGTTAAATGTTAATTGCTTTTCAGTTTTCAGTTGTGACAAAGTACATGCTTTTGAATGTAAAATAAATTGGAAACCAAGAAACGGAGTTAATTTATTTCTTTTCCATATCCATTATATTTATGTTTAAGTAATCCAAAGTATTTAGATTACGGTGCTAACTTGGAGTAATCTAATGGAATACGTTAAAAATTACATTTTAGAGCATGTATTCAGTAATCTGTAATGGGACATCTTACTAACACTGATCACTAATTTTGCAATACAAATCCACCTCGAGTAAGCTGGATGGGTCAATACAACGTAAAACTTCAATTTACAAAAGGCCTCATGACTTCAGCTTTAATGGGTAACAAAGCCAACATTGCCAGACACTTATACAGAGCTTTGGGGAGCTTCATTAACGAATATTAATGTCATTCATGAACAAAAATTTTAGGATTGCAGAAAGTTTTAGACCAGTGCTTCTCAAACCAATCCTCAGTGACGCTCAGACGTCCCGCCGTTCTGCTGTCTTGCAATTCCCTGAGAGTTGGGAGGGAGCAAAAACGTGGACCGTCTGGGGGCCCCCGTGGACTGGGTTTGATAAACACTGTTTTATACCATGCTTTATTTAAAAGCACATAAACCTTGTCTATAAAACAGAGGACATATGAGCTTCCCAAAGGTAAACCCATAGTTCCCTGAGCAAACAGAACACATGCTTAGTCTGTGGAATGTATCATTTTTTGTGGGAGTTGAGTTTTTACCTATATTTAATTCATATACAGTAGGCCACTTGAAAATGAAAGAGAGAGATATGAAGAATTTAGGCCCACAGTAACCCTGTACTGACATCCCATCCAGGGTGTCCCCTGCCCTGTGCCCTGTGCCCTGTGCCCTGTGCTGGACCGACATCCCATCCAGGGTGTCCCCTGCCCTGTGCCCTGTCCCGCCTGGCACAGGCCCCAGACTCCCCAAGACCCTATAGTGGATAAGCGGTCGGAAGACCGATAGAGGGATCTGGAGCCAGGCGAAGGACACACATAAACACACACTCAGGAAACAGGCACCCAATCTTATTTGTGTCATTTTGCAGTCACACCCCTGAAGCGAAGCACAAATCCTATGTCCCTCATTTCCAGCAAACTCGAGCCACAATAGAAAAGCGATGCTATCAGAACAAGGCCTTTGCTGGTGTGGAGAGATAAGATAGAGACACAGAGTGTTACACCTTCCTAAACCATCCCGAGCACAGCATCACCCACCTGCATTCATTACTGTCAGAGATGATGTTGCAGTACATGTCCTGCCATCTGCTTCTAAAAGGCCCGTCAGATACAGAAGCTCGGGGGTCGTTTTTTTTCCCTGGTACTCCGGTCTTTGTTTTTGGAGTGGTGGTGTGTTTATTTTACAGCTAATAAATAATTTGGCAGGAGCACAGTGCTAAATTGTTGCTGCAGACCCCGAGGGATTTCAGTGCAGTGCGAGCAGAAATGACATCGGCGGCACAACTGCTGTGAGTATGGGAATGAACAAGCTGCAGCCGCAGTCTGGCGCGAGGCTGGCTTCTCACGTTTTAATCAAGGACCGAAGCCTGTTAAAATAACTCCACTATAGCCAAACAGCTGAATACAGATGAAGCCATATTTGGAGACCTACCCCCTCCCCCCCCAACCAAATTCCTAACCCCACTGCATAATTATGAGTAAGCAGCAACTAATTATTTTTCAAATAGTATTACACAACATTGCATCTTAATTACAAATGTTTGTGCATGGGAAATAATGATGTGTTTAGTGGAGTGTTTTATTGTTTCAATAAGCTCAGGGTCATCTGAATGCACCGCACAAAATCCCCACATCTCACATATCAGAAATATTACACTGATCCCAGTAAGTAGAGTGTTTTTACTTGTCCATCTACACCAGTGTTTACGGTTCTCAGGTTCATGGTAATAATGTGCGATGCCACCCGGCCGTGGTCCCCTTTCACTGTCCCACTTGTCAATATTACATTAAATAAAGCTGATTTGAAATGTAGCTGCACGCCCACATGAATTATTCAAATGCTATTTAATGTTTAATGTCAGATGCGGGCAACACCATCAACTACAAAGAAGTGAACAGAAGTTTTGTGCAACTGATTTTGATACATTTAAAACAGCATAATGTAACTAATTTAATAATGTTCCGTCTCCCTTTCCGTCTCATTGCCTTCCAGCCTCTCCAGAAACTGCAGTCAGCTGTTCACCTAGAACACGGCAGGATTTGATGCACTATACATATTGCCATGTTTAGCATGGAATGCAAGCGCTGACACCTCAGGTTCAGCCATGTTAAAGCAGGTCTTGACCAAAACTCGTTAATCCGAACCAAATTAACCCAAAAGTAACATAAGGAAACAGATTTCAGGGGCAAAACGATGGCTGTGCATGAAGGCACTGGCCAAGGTGAATCACTGCCGGAGCAGTGAACGAGTTAATTAGAATGTCATTATGGAGGCAGGCCTACCTTGTTTTGATTGGGATGCAGTGGGTTTACTGAGGGCGAATCGCTCACGCCTGGCTGGGTTCTGGTTACAGCAAACTGTTGAATAAGGTGAAGAAGGGCCAGTGTTATATTTGGAAAATAATCATCAAAAGGTTACAGCAACGATCCCCTATAAACTAGCATCCGGACAATTGTTTGATTCTGAATATATATTTTATTTTTATAGAAATAGCAGTCACATCTCTCTTTGCTTATACATTTTCAGTGGTATAATGAACATCTAAAATGACTCTGAGAGTCATCTGTACACTTAACCTAAGGAAAACAACTTGTTTGCCCACTTGGTTTTGGCCAGAATCAGGAAGCCGGTTTCTAATCACTAAAGTAAACAGCAATGGCCCTTAGGTGTGTTAATAACTTCTTTCCCTGCTTTAGGCTTCATCATCTTTTATATATATATATATAAACATATATTAACCTGTTCCATAGCTCACTCCACATTACAATATCTTTTGACAGTCGGACGACATGAAGGCAGATGCTCCGTGTTTTTTTCTTCTTCCTTTCACTCTAATGGCATCAGTTACAGATCTTACAAGGAGGTCCTTTCATCTTTTGTTTGCTCCTCGCTTAAGACCAGGAGACAGTGGATCATTAAAATCCCATTTCTCAATCTTGATTACGACGCACTGCTAGGCAGATGTTGGATGGGGGAGCCAGCATCACCATTTAAACCAGCTGGTTTTGAACCAAGGTGTTTGTTGCTGAGTACCGGGTCAGAGGCAAGAGCTCTGTGCCAGAAATCCGCTGTGTCACCTGTGCCCGGCGGCTGCGTCTGAAGAATTGACTTACTTCAAATAATTTAGCCCTTTATTTTTTCATCTGTTATTTTTCTGTGGTTGGGATACCGTGGGTTGTGTGAGGGGGAAGTGTGAGTCTTTCTCGAACCTTGAAAGTACACACACAGCGTGTGTGTGAGACACGCGTATGGATGGCAGGCCTGCAGGAGAACCCAACACTACTTCAGTCTCCCCAGTCTCCAGCAGCACCTCCACAAGTTGCCCCGCCCACGACAACGACAGGGGCTCTCTCTAATCTCTGTACATTTCTCCATCTTGTGCCACTTCTCTGTGCCCAAGGCAGGATGAAAAAATAACAAAAAAATTTTAAGTGCTTCCTGCAAAGACAGGCTCCACAGCCCAGCTTTGACAGCTTATTTCAGGATCATATTCAAGGGGAAAACTGCTTATTTGTCTAGCTCTTTTCCTGCTGAAAAGAGTATTCAAGGGAGGCAGTTTCGCTGACGGTTCAAGGTCTTGCGACGTGGATAATTTTTGCTTTGCACTCCAAAGAAAACACACTTCAAGGCATCAAACAAATCAGCTTTAAGGCCAAACTGAGCACCTCGACTGACTTTTTTTCTCTATAATGTGTACAGTAATATTACATGCCTTGCCGCTGTTGATGTGTCAAACCGTGGATTGAAAAACTGACATTGTAGCAGAGAGTTTGATATTAAGAGGGATACAACTTAATAATTGAAATACAAAGGTCTATTTATTAGGGAGGATGAATGGATCCAAATTTAACATTGGGGGGGTACAGGTTCTGCAGTCACCCCAGGTTCCTACACCCCTGGTCAGATCCAAAAACCAGGTTAGTCAAAAATCAATTGACAATCACTCTCTAATCAGTTTCTTATCATGTTTTGATACATCTAAACAAAGAGTGCCTTCCTAATCTTGCTATAACCCAGGGGCCGTCTGCAGTTAACAGCCACTAAGAAAACACAATGGAGACCAAGATCAGTGAGGGCTTCATATGTATGATTCCCAATGCAGTTTTATTTCACATGCTTGGGGCCTGAAAACAAACCGGAGCCAATCACACACGACACACAGGTATTTCACTGTAAACAAACAAACAAACAAACAAAAAAGAAACATACTAAAGCTTGGAGGTTTCACTCAGTTTATTATAATTTTTTTAAAATTTGATTTATGTTTCCCATCCATTCATTTTCCAAACTGCTAATCCTTCTGGGTCGTTTGGGTCCAGAGCCTATCCTGGAAGCTATATCCTCCTGAGACCCGACCTATTCATTTATGTCCATTGTAGTGGACATTGTATTTTTGCATTTATTTTTTCACTGATGTTGGGAAACGTATTTATTCTTGTTGTGCACTAAAGAGGACATGCTGTGAAATTAAAATAAGAATAAATTTGAAAAAATCTAAATTGTAAGATGTCTTATTTCCTCCAAAGACAAATAACCTACAATTGAAGGACACTTTTTTCCTTGGGTCTCAGGAGGATATGGGCACAACCCAGGACAGGGGGCCAGCTGACTGCAGGGCACACTCACACACCAGTCACTCACACACCAGTCACTCACACACCATTCACACCTAAGGGCAATTTAGTAACTCCAGTTAGCCTCAGCATGTCTTTGGACTGTGGCGGGAAACCAGAATACCCGGAGGAAACCCCACAGGGAGAACATGCAAACTCAACACACATGTAACCCAGGCGGAGACTCGAACCCGGGTCCCAGAGGTAACAGTGCTAACCACCACACCACCATGCCCATAACCCGCCCTTTAGGCTTCCCTAAAACTGGATTGTGTGGCCATAGCTCTGGACTCCCTGTGATCCTGAATAAGACAAGCAGTTTCAGAAAATGGATGGATGGATGGATGGATAAAACTAGACTGTGTTGAATAAAAATAACATACATTTACAATGAAGCAAAGACATGCACAGGTCATGTTTGAATCATGAGATTAGGGAGAAAGATTCAATCAATGAAAACAGAGAAAAAGAAAGAATAAATCCTTTGTTCTGTGTCATACATACTGTAGATTCCTGCAGTCGAGCCTAATTACAGTGAGGTGATAACACGACTCCGGCACGGAGCTCACATTAACCAGTCAATACTGACGGATGTTAACACAGGACACTTGTGAGATCTGAGGACAATCCTGCTTTGTTCACGGGACTAAAATTGTCCCTACCTGCTCAGGCTCAGGCTGGACCTGGCAAACCAGCAAGGAGCTGCTTCACAGCTCGATTCGGGTGCAGCCTGCAAAGCTCAAATTCAACACTCTGCTTGTGTGCTTTGACGTGCGAGTCACAGACAAAAATGCGTGCGTATATAAAACACCCACGTTACACACACCTGATTTCCAGGCTTAAAGAGATAAATGAGGAAATAGAATTCTTTTGTGGGGCTTTATTTCTTACGGAAGCGTATTACTGCCACGACAAAATAAGAAAAATATTCTCACTATCACGTTATAACGTGAAAATATTACATTATAACGTGAAAACATCACGTTAAAACAAGAAATCGTATCACGTGATAATGTGAAAACATCACGTTTTAACGCGAAACCGTATCACGTTATAAATCTATCCCGATAGGATTAAAAGTTAAATTGACGAATCCTGCCGTAGAATACATGCCTATCTCGGGAGCGCGCACCACTGAAAACAGCGAAAGGAAAGCTCTTTTGTAACTCTATCGTGTAAATGATCGTTTTTGTGTATACAAAGTCATAAAACGTATGTAACACATCATACGACATTGTATTTTGTTAAAGTACACATATACAGCATATACAGCATAACATTTAAGAAATAAGTCCCGGATCTGAAAACGGTTTGTTATTTAACAGGCTGTCAAACGCCTGTTGATATCGATTGAAAAGTTCGAAACACATGAACACGAACTTGGCAATAAAGCGCTTATCAGATACACGGTACGTAACACTTCGTTTCACAAAATAAATAAATGTCAATCATTTTAAAACGTCTGGGTCTCGTTCTAATTTATGGCTAAAATAGTGTATATACTGTATATGGCTAAAATAGTGTAAATAATGTTGCACCACGTAGCTCAGGTTATACTTCTCTCCAAATTGTATTAAGAAAACGTGCTTCATGCTGCTGGGGTCAGTGCAAATGTAATGAAGCCGGTGAGGGGATATATTTCTCATGTACTTGATTATAGGAGCTGCAGAAATGCAAAGGGGATGCCTTTTTCGGCATAACACCGCCCCTGATCAATTTAACTTTTAATCCTATCGGGATAGGTTTTCTCATTATAACGTAATATTTTCATTTTATAACGTGATACGGTTTCACGTGATAACGCAAGTTTTTTACGTGTTATAACGTAATACGATTTCTCGTTTTAACGTGATGTTTTAACTTTATAATGTGATAGAATATATTTTTTTATTTATTATGTCGTGGCAGTAATACGCTTCCGTAATTTCTCAATGATCTCGTCAGCAGTTTAAATGAGAAACCTCAGTAACGTCAGCAAACTGTAATATAAATACATAAAATCTTTGATGTCATATTGAATTTTCTGGAGAAGGAAATGGTCATTTGAATGAGATACAAAGTTCTAAAAGACTGAAAACAGATCAGCATACATTCAATCTCCATGAAAAAAAGATGCTCTTTCAGTCATACACCTATTCTGACAATAAATACAAGCTTTGTCAAAGGGCAGTGATTGTATGAACTATTTACTGTAGAAACTGCATGGGAGAATACAGAATGACTCTGTTTCTTTGCACAAAACAAAAGAGCCCTTTATTGTAAAAACGGCCCTTTCTTTGCCTGCTTTTTTTCCACTTCTCTGCGTCAGAAAATGGCCACGAACGGAGTTATTGAAAGTGGGAAATGGCGCCTTGGTTTCATGTGCGAATCAGATAAGAGAACAGGAGCTAATAATTGTGCTGTGCTGAGTCAGTGTGAAAGTAGAGCAGGCAGCAGCTGCTTGGTGAGCAACCTGGGCTTGGCACTGAGGCCAAGGGCCGTCAGCAGCCTCTGTGGGCCCCGTATCACTTTACCCTGAGCCGACACTCCCAGAAATGACCAGCACCAGTGCTGCTTCATTAAGCTTTCTAAGGGTCTTATGCAGGCATATTTCCAGAATTCAATTCTGTCCCGATGCACCCTTGAAGATTTAGGACTTGTCAGTCAAAGTGCACAATATGGACAATAGTATTGGGACAACTGGCCATTACACCCACAGGAACTTTTATGGCATCCCATTCTAAACCCACAGGTATCCATATGGAGCTGGTCCCCCCTGTGCAGCTATAACAGCTGCCACTCCTCTGGGGGGGGGCTTTCCACATGATGTTGCAGTGTGTCTGTGGGGATTTTTGCCTATTCATCCAGAAGAGCATTTGTGAGGTCAGACACTGATGTTAGACATGAAGGCCTGGCTCACAATGTTCATTATAGTTCAACATAAAGGTGTTCGATGCAGTTGAGGTCAGGGCTCTGTGGAGGCCAGTCAAGTTCTTCCACACCAAACTCACCCAACCATGTCTTTATGGATCTTGCTTTGTGCACTGGGGCACAGTCAAGCTGGAACAGAAAATGGCCTTCCCTAGACTCTTTCCACAAAACTGAAAGACATAGAATTGTCCAAGATGTCTTGGCATGCAGAAGCATTGAGTTCCCATCACTGTAACTAAGGGAAACTCCAAACCATTCTCCCTCCTCCACCAAACTTTACAGTTAGCACAATGCAGTCAAGCAGGTAACGTTGTCCTAGCATGTGCCAAACCCAGACTCGTCCATTAGATTACCCGAGAGAAAAGCGTGATTTCCTCACTCCACAGAACACATTTCTACTGCACCAGAGTCCAGTGGCAGTGTGCTTTACACCACTCCATCCAACGCTTGGCACTGCACTTGGTGAGGTGAGGCTTGCATGGAGCTGCTCGGCCATGGAAGCCCGTTCCATGAAGCTCCCAGTGCACAGTTTTTGTACTGGGGTTAATGCCAGAGGAAGTTAGGAACTCTGCAGTTGAATCATCATGACTTTTACACACTATGCACCTCAGCACTCAGTGACCCTGCTCTGGTAGTTTACATGGTCTGCAGCTTTGTGGTGAGTTCCCGTTGTTCCTAAACGCTTCCACTTTGCAGTAATATGACTTACGGTTCACTGCGGAATATCTAACTGGGAAGAAATTCCCAAACTGACTTATTGCAAAGGTGGCATCTTATGACAGTACCAAGCTTGAATACACTGAGCTCTTCAGAACGACCCATTCTTTTACAAATGTTTGTAAACCTGACTGCATGGCTAGGTACTTGATTTTATACACCTGAATTCAATGATTAAGAAGCGTGCCCCAATACTTTTCTCCATATAGTGTATCAGTTTCTATGGTCAACAGGGGATACACAATGGATACACAGGGGATACACAGAGGATGTTGATTCTCATCATTACACCAAATGAACAACCATGCCACTTTAAATATTTCAAAGTAAAAAGGATTTTTGAAAATATCATAAAAAACCATTTAACAAAAAGTTGTTTCAAACACATTTTGTAAGGTCATTTTATAAGGTCCTCATAGTTTAATTCAGTGTGAGCATGAAAATTTTATGACCATCACATTTACCAGAAGGTAAAATGTAATGTCTAGTGAATTAACAGGATTCTAGGCTGTGCATTTAATTCAATTAATTTGTGTTAACACATGCCATCCATCTATCCATCCAATATTTGTATCCTATTCAGGGTCGCGGGGGTCCAGAGCCTATCTTGAAAGCTATGGGTACAAGGCAGGGAATAACCCAGGATGGGTATACTCACACACACACTCACACACCACTCACACACACATTCACATACACACACACCACTCACACACACACACCATTCACACACACACTCACACACCACTCACACACACACTCACACACCATTCACACACACACTCACACACACACTCACACACCACTCACACACCACTCACACTCACACACACATTCACACCCACGAGAAATTTGGTAACCCCAATTCACCTTAGCATGTTCGTGGACTACAGGGGGACACTGGAGAACCTCTGTGGTCTCCCTATGACCTTGACCAGGATATGTGGTTGGGAGATGGATAGATGGAATGATGGATGATGGAAGGATGGATGGGTATTAATATTTTTGTAACAAAACAACTGAATATTACTATAATTATATGTTTATTTCATGATTTTGGTGGTATCACACCACCAAAGAGGAATTAAAGTCACTAAGATAACTTATAAAGAAAACCTCACTTCAAAGTTATGACCAAGTTGTTTAAAATTTTATTGGGAAATTCAGCTTTTGGTGTAACAGCTTTGTGTGACAGGACTGAAACCTATACATTCAGTATGACAGTACTGAGGCTCACAGTGTAGTAAGCAGCTGTCTATTCTTAAAACCATTGAAACATCTAAAAGAGTGGGCCATTAACAGAGATGGCCAGGAGACTCACGGCCTGGCAGACGTGTGTAATTCACAAGAGGAAAATGAACAAGTCAGTCACAGGAAAGAGTTTAAGGAAGCCAAACTTCTGGTAAAGCTCAATGCACTTTGAAATGTAAACAATAAATGTACTTTAAAAGTACTTTATATGTGTACTTCATACCTTATATAAATAAGGGTTAACCAACAATAATTCATTTCCATGGTGCAATCAAAAGAAATTTCGAGTTTTGAGGGGTATACAAGAGATTGCCTTTAAAATATGTTTTTTTTTCCAGCTCTCAAAACATATTGTTCCCTTAATGTAAAAAGCTCATATCTGGGAAAGGTTTTTATATCTCCCTTAAACATTCAGCTGTTGCTAACCCAAACCAGTGATCCTATACCATGCCTGAATAGTAAGAGTATTATCAAAAAGTAAACTTCTCAGCTTCACTGTAACCTGTATACATTCTCCACCGTGCTGTAATTCTTATAGGAATGTAAACAGCTGAAGAATCAAATTACTCTCAACAGAGAACTTCCCTTCACTTATATAAGTAGCCCAGCGGTACCGAGTGGTACTGCCCAGACCTCTGAACCCATATGGCTGTACAGCTCATTCAGCTAACGAACCGATAGTGCTCTATGAAATGTTCACTGGTCTTGGGGGAATCATCTCCAAATGCTGCTGTTTATTTTTAGTCCCATATAGCACAGAGATTTCCTTGTCTTGTACGTCAGGACTGTGAAAGAAAAGAATGATTGATGAACTCCCTCTTTGCTCCTTGCGAGTGCCATCGTACGTCTCTGCCTACCTCAATTCTCCCTTT